TTTTAAATTACTAAAGTAAGCCTTAACTAATACTTTTATACTTTAATATTTTTAACTAAAGTTACTTACTTATTTAAAAATAGATACCTTAGACTTTATTTATACTAAAGTAATACTTTAGTACTAGAAAAATAAGACTTAGTATCTTATAGCCTTTTATTTAAAATAATAATATAAGCTAAACTTAACTATATAATCTATAATAAAAAACTACTAGTAGTAATTTTAGTTTTTAAAAAAAAGTACTTAAAGTTAGTAAACTATTACTAAAGATTTAAGGTTACTATTAACTACTAACTACTTTTATACTTTATAATAAAAAAGTTACTAAATAGTTACTAAGTTTACTAAGCTAAAACTATAGTTAACTTTAATATTATTATTTAGTATTACTTAAAAAAAAAGAATATACTAGTAAATACTTTATTAAAGAAAAAAAAGAATCTAGTAACTTAAAAGTTACTAAAAGAAGTAAGCTATACTTAGGTATTACTTTTACTTATACTACTTTTCTCTAAGATTACTAAAAAGCTAAAGTAGTTACTATAAGATATAGTACTAACGTCTATAGAGACTACTTTAGTAAAGATTATAGTTAATACTTTAACTCTAGAGAATAACCTCTAAAGATATTTACTAGTAAAATAAATTCTTTAGTTAAACTATAACTTTACTACTTTATTACTTAAAGCCTTTTATAAGCTTATAAATAAAAAGTAAAAACAATAAAAACTTTAAGATAACTTATTAATAATAAACTATAAATTAGTAGTACTTTTTTTAAAAAAAAAACCTTTAAACTTATATAATTTAAAAGACCTATAACTAAAAACTATTTATTTACTTTAGCTATAATAAAATAATAAAAATCCTTAAGAAATACTATTATTAGCCTAGCTTTTTAGCTAATATAAAAGGATATATTTAAAGGGAATTAATAGGGATACTCCTAGAATTAATACAGATGCTCTAGCCTTATAGACGCTCCACTATTTGCCCTTCTGATTAGTCTAAAAAAACAGTACATCTCTATAAAGGCAGTAAAGGCAATTGCACTAACACCTCCACCTGGCTCTTTAAGGGGCCCTTTTTATGGCTGTAAAAAGGACCCCCTTGGGCTGCCTTAATAGGCTGTAATAGGCTGCTGTTAATGGGCTGCAATGGGCTGCCTTGATGGGCTGTGATGGGCTGCCTTGATGGGCTGCGATGGGCTGCCGCGATAGGCTGCGATGGGCTGCTGCGATGGGCTGCGATGGGCTGCCGCGATAGGCTGCAATGGGCTGCCGCGATGGGCTGCGATGGGCTGCCGCGATGGGCTGCGATGGGCTGCGATGGGCTGCCGCGATGGGCTGCGATGGGCTGCGATGGGCTGCCTTGATGGGCTGCGATGGGCTGCCGCGATGGGCTGCGATGGGCTGCCGCGATGGGCTGCGATGGGCTGCCGCGATGGGCTGCGATGGGCTGCCGCGATGGGCTGCGATGGGCTGCCGCGATGGGCTGCGATGGGCTGCCGCGATGGGCTGCGATGGGCTGCCTTGATGGGCTGCGATGGGCTGCCGCGATAGGCTACCTCCTGTGAGCCTGGCAGAATTTAGTTACACTAACAAGAATTTTTTAGACCAATCAGAAGGGCAAATGGCAGAGCGTCCGTAAGGCCAGAGCGTCTGTATTAATTCTAGGAGTGTCCCTATTAATTCCCTATTTAAAACTACTATATATATTACTATAGCTAGAAGCTATAAAATAAACCCCTTAGAGAACTTTACTTTTTACTTATTTTATCCTATCTTTAGTAGTATATTACTACTAACTTTATATTTTATCTAGAAAATAAAAAAAGCTATAATAACTTTTAAGTAGTAGTTAATTACTTAAGTAAATAAGCTATATTTATTTTTTATTTTAAGATAACTACTATAAAAAATATAGTATATATATTTTATAAGAAAGTTCTCTTAATTTTTAGCTTACTTAAAACTAATACCTTAAACTAAGGTCTTTAGTTTATATTAGACTTTTAAAATAAGCTTTACTATATCTATAGTATTAAAATAAAGCTATTTACTATAGACTACTTTTAGACTAATAAATAAACTAAAGTCTTAAACTAATATATTATATAATAACTTTACTTTTTTATAAATTACTACTAAAATAACTAAAATAATATAGTTCTAGTAGTAGACTTTACTTATATAGTTTTTTTTAGTAAAACTACTAGTTTATCTCTTTATAAAGTTAAATTTAAAAAACTATTAAAGTTAAGTTTTAATTAAGATAACTATACCTAGAAGTATAGTAGTACTAAAGAAAAGCTTAATAAAATAGACACCTAGTACTAAGCCTAAAAAATCTATAAGTACTAGTAAATAACTAAAGAAAATATAAAAATTACTTAAAAATAATATTATTATTATACTAACTAGTATAAATAACTTAATAATATTTAAGTTAGTAATAAAGTTTTTATTAATATAATTTACTAAAAATATAATAACTTTAATAAGCTTTAGAACTTATAGGTAAATCTTTAGCTTATTATAGTAGCTAGATTAAAGAAAGCCTAAAAAGTCTAGTTACCTAAAAGTATTAAGGCCTATCTAGTGTTTTACTTAAGTAAGCTTAAAAAAGCCTTTAATAACCTTTTTCTTAGATAATAATAAAAATTACTTTTTTTTATAATATTTAACTTTAGTAATAAACCTAAGTATAAAGTATTATAAGTACTAAAGTCTAAAATAAACTATAAAAGACTTTAGTACTAGGTTAATTAGTTAAGTTATAATAAAGACCTAACTTAGTATAATACTAAAGGCTTTTACTATTTACTAGTAGTACTATAGAGATTTTATAAAAAATACTTAATAACTACTAGACCTTTACTTAACTTACTTTAATAGTTATAGGCTATAGTAAAAAACACTAAAGTACTTCTTTATTTTAATAATAATAAAGCTATATAATAGACTATTAACTTACTACTACCTTATAAGCTAGTTAATACTTTTTAAGCTTTAACTTTACTTTATTAGTTTTTATCTTAAAAAAGTATTTTCTAAAAAGAATATTTATATAAGAAAATAAAAAAATTAACTTATAAAAAAAAGGTTAATTTTTAAGGCTAACTAATAAATCTTAATCTTATAAATAATATTACTAGTAAAAGGAGAAGTAATATTATTAGGTAACTAAGACAATAGGCTATAATAGCTATACTAGTTATAGCTAATAAGCTATAAAGACTACTAAGACTAGGTATAGACTACTAGAAGTTATATAACTAAGAAAAGGTTTATAGAGAATTTAAAGGTAAGGCTATAAAAGAAGGCCTTACTATAGTTTTCTTTTCCTCTTTATCTTAGAATCTTTATTTAAGGTAATATAGTTATAAGTTATTTAACCTTAGTTATTACTACTATAATATATAAAGAAAACCTTTTTTAGAAAAAAATAAGTAATATAAGTAAATATATATAGCTTACTATAATAATAAAGTATACTATAATATATAGCTTACTATAATATATAGCTTACTATAATATATAGCTTACTATAATATATAGCTTACTATAATATATAGCTTACTATAATATATAGCTTACTATAGTATATAACTTACTATAGTATATAGTTTACTATAGTATATAACTTCTTATAGTATATAGCTTACTATAGTATATAGCTTACTATAGTATATAGCTTACTATAGTATAAAGCTTACTATATATATAAGCTTACTATATATATAAGCTTACTATATATATAAGCTTACTATATATATATATATAATATATATATATAGTAAGTAGATAATTATAGTAAGTAGACTAGTTCTTTATTATACCTTAAAGAGTACTTTTTTAGCTATTTTTTAAAAATCTAAATCCTAACTAAAATAGATATAACTTTATATAGAAATACTAATAAGAGTTATAAAGCAAAAAGAAATACTTAAGAAGTTATTGTCTTACTTAAACTATATACTTTAACCTTACCTCTTATTAAGAGAAAGTAAGAAGAAATAAGAAGAAGAAGAAGGGTTAGAGTAGAATAATAATTTCTAGGGTATTCTCTCTTAGTTTCTAACCCTTATTAGTATTAATGTTTAAAGTTACATCTATTTTAGTTAAGATTTAGATTTTTAAAAAATAGCTAAAAAGTACCCTTTAAGGTATAATAAGGAACTAGTCTACTTACTATAATTGTCTACTTACTATATATATATATTATATATATATATATATATTAATTAATAAGTAATTATTAACTTAATAAGTCTATACTACTATAGTTTAGTATTAACTTTATTTATACTATTAGTAGAAAACTTACTAATATATATTTATAGTAAGTTATATACTTTTTTATTATATCTTAAAGTGTAGTTTTTTAACTTTCTTTTTCTAAATCGAGATTTTATCTAAAGTAAAGATAACTTAATACATAGGTGCTAATAAGTATTAGAAACTAGAAAGCAAGAAAAATATTTTATAATTTATTATCTAATTCTAAGTTTATATCTTAATCTTAACTCTTAACTATATATAAGAATAATAAAAAAAAGTCAAGGTTAAGAAAAAATAGTAATTTCTACAGTATTGTTTCTTAAAATCTAACTTTTATAATTACATAAGAAAAAATTAGATCTTTTTAGTTATAAATTTATTTTTTAATAAATATTTTAAAAAGAAGGATTTTCTATATAATAGAGAAGTATATAGCTTACTATAATATATAACTTGCTATATATAAATATATATTATTAGACTATAATCTATAATATAGATCTTAATATCTTAATATACTGTAGAATACCTAATAATGTAGAGTAACTCCTAAATCTAACTTGAATTTAACTATACCTAGATATATAAACAATCTTTAGGTGTTAGCACGTTAGTGCTAACTAGTAATAATAGTTTTTAAATAAGGTTGCGTAGGTTTATAGGTTAGCTACACTAAATAACAAGGGTATAACTAACGTACTAGTAATAATAGTACTGTCTAACCTACTACTAAGGTTGTAGTGGCTTTATTGCAAGCTGTATAATGACTTTAAAATCTGTTACTACTAAGGTTGTGAAGAACCTTGCGCCTTGAGTTACAGACGGTACTAGAGACAGCTTTACTCGCTAGCAAACTCGCTGGCTAGGTATACCAAAGACGGAAGCTGGGCTTGGTCTGAAGTGTTCTTCAAGAAATAAACAACATTGTCTTTTAGTTGCTTGTAGTTTATAAAACCGTCTCATACTGTTAAGGAGCTGTCGGTGATTTAGATGCTATACTGCTTGCAGGAATGTTGAAAAGAAATGCCATCTTTTGAGTAGTCCATGGGTCAATTAATGGTATTATGCTAGGGTGCAATTTCCCTTGCTTCAGCTCCATTTTGTCGTAACATTCTTTTACCAATCCCCTCCTGGAGGGTTTTGACGGCCGTAGCTCTTGCAGTGCGGGGAGTCTCGGGCGAAGGTGGTCGTCGGTAGATCTCTTGTTGCTCCGCCTGTGTTCTTCGCTCAATTTTATCCTGAAGATTTCTCACGGCGGCGGCCCTTATTGTTCTAGGCGTGCCAGGACTACCTGGTGTACTGGGCGGAGTCGGCATCTGCTCGTCTGCGAGGTGGTGCGCAGACAGCCGGCTATTTTGTTGCTTTACATCGCGTAGTCTTCTCGCAACCTTGATCTGCATTCTCGCTGCCGCCGATGTTCGAGGCCTTGAGAAATTATAGATGTTGGACCTAACAGACTCCGCAGTCGGCGTTGGACTGATGGGTCGCTGTGCAGGCAAATATCTGTCCCATGTCGGATGATGCCGGCCTGGACGTCGCTTGCTTAGTTGTAAAGTATGATACGAATCTCTCTGGCTCTCCGTCCTGTAGGTGAGATGCCTGCCCTCATCTACCCCATCACTTGAGATTCGCCGCCGCCGGCGTCCCTCATTCGGCAACACGCCATTGTCTGAACGTAAGCCACTAGCCGGTTCCTCGGAAACAGTTGTCGTAGATGCAAACGGAGCAACATGCTCTTTCTCAGTTGTTGAGTTGACTCTCGGAGAGATTGACATTGCTATTGCATGCGAGCGTGCTGGTCGATTATCTTGCATTGTTCTGGGATGTTGGCTTATTTCCCAATCACTATTTGAAGTCAAGGGCCCGCTGCTCATGATTCTGTTCTCCTCCTCCATTGTCATCAAAGGCGTAAGGGGTCTCTGGAAAAAAGCGATAGGGAAACCACCGTTAAAAGGGGGGGATTGAACGCCAATTGCTGCCCATCTCCGCAAATCATATTCTGTTTGCTCTTCGAGTGGTGATTGACGGCGTGGTGAATAGTCCTTGTGTAGGACTAAAGATGGAAGAATGACTTCATTTAGGCGTGCTGATGCATCAGTTGAGATGTCAGATGCCGCTTGCCTTATGTTGCCATGTTCTTGCCAAGTGACCCAATTGTGGATTGGCTCTGTCTCTTCTGCTTTGAGGGTCGAGCCAGCCCTTGTTGGAGGTCTCCAGGCAAAAGCGCTATGCAAAGAGGGAGAATCTGGCATGCAGACTCTAGATTGATCCCCGAAGACTGTACGCAGCGGAGTTGGCATTGACATGGTTCTTGCATGACGCCTAAATTATCATATTAGTTCAACATAATATATCTCTCTCCTTAATTAGAGCAGAATACTCACACGACTCTCTGCTGAGCTTCTCGGTGGTTTGTCTTTGTCAAAGTTTTGCGCTTCATCCGTTCTTGTTTCTCTGGAGATTCGTTTCTTTCACATATTTTTTCCCGTTTTCCACAGAAAGATGCGGCTGCTTCTACTTTGCTTGGCTCCAAGTCGTCGTTTTTGAAGTACGCTGATGTGTCGTCTTCTCGGATGAACCAAGATTGAGAAAACCCCAAGGTCGCAAAAGGACGGTTTGCCATTTCAATAACGACGAGTACTGCGGCCAGAGAAAAGCTTTGGAGGTGTTAGTTGTGCCTGTATGCGTTCCCGGAGTGTTGTCTGAGAACATACAAAGAAGCAATGCTTATGATGACGTTGAGCCATGGAACGTTATCCTTAACGCCTTTCGAAAGGTCTAGCCCAACATTCACTGCAACGAATATTGCCAGTGTAATCGCCGCAGCCCACACAGGAAGGCCCAGCCGTGCCAACAGAAAAGCAAATCCAGAAACATATTTTCCGTGGACAGTTGCAGAATCGACACTTTTGACGTATGCGATCCTCGCGGCGACAATATGTGTGAAGACGTAAACGAGACTAATACATGAGGCGACAAAGAACACGGCTCGGCTGAGAGGATCCAAAACCTCAGCAGACTCGAGGTTGTGATACAAAACGATAGCAGACAAAGTAATACCAGTTGCAGATGAGAGGAAGAGAAATATTATCGAGAGAAGTGACAGAGCGGGATAAAGTCGAGCGGCTCTTCGTGGGGCAGTCTGCGGCGAAGACTTTGGCGGCGGCACTGCAGTCGTCGCGTCTCCTTGAGCACGCTTCATGGGAATCCAGTTCCATGCACGGCACGAACGCGTATATGTCGATGACACGCCGTATAACAGCAAGTGGATGCGGCTTCATCAGGAGCCATACGCAGTTATGGTCGACTAGTCGGCATGGGTTTGGGCAAGTCGAGGCAAAGCTGCCCAATCCACACTGATAGCATTGGGACTTGTACGAGATGCGGTGGTTGGCAAGTTGATTTAGGGCAGTGTCGACGAGGAGACGAGAAAGGTTTTGTTTACCCATGTTACATCCCTTGCCTGCACAGTGTCGGAGCCTTGGGATTAGCATGACGTGTCGCTGATCCAAAATCCAGAACCCAAGGCACAATCCGATGCTTGCGAAATTCCACCTCACGGTAGTCAAGCCGGCGCATGGATGTAAAGTGAGTATCTTTTTGTATGATCGGTCTCTGTCCGATGTCCGGATCAGCATGTGAAACAGATGCAGCGGTCGAAGCAGTCCAAGCGCTCAGTCAGTCAGCGGCGCTTGGGATAAGACACTTTCGGGTTCTCGGATAAAATGCCACAGCGAATAAGTTATTTGGTTCACAACTCTGCTCCCCCGCATCTTTAGGGACAGAGCCACCATGCAGAACGAGCTCCAGAGTCTTGGATGAACTTGGCGTTTTTTACCCTATCAATTCTTTGACTGTTCGCAGCCTTCCAGTCGTCAAGGTTTTACTCTTTTGCCTCGACAGAGGTCAATTTTGACGGGGCAAGAGGGTGCAACTTATCGAGCCGCACGGTTGTCAAAGGCGATTTCAGCAATAAGGGTACGTAGCAGTGACCTCACGTGGTTTCGGAACAGACAGACCGGGCTTGTCCAGAAGTTAACATGTCACAATTCTCCATTCGCCATGGCATTGTTTCAGCAGCGATCCACGTCTGCAACACAGCGCGTGTGTCATCACCGTGTACGGTGTCTCAGCCTGCTTATAGATATCTGGGCAGATACTGACTGCACTTGTACCAATTATTGAACAAAGCCATTTTTGAGAGTGTTGCTTCCTACGAATTAGAATATATATTCCCTGCTTATATTATTGTTTCACCAACATTAACCCGTATTGTGGCGTCTTGTCTGCGTTGACATTTGTGTAGTCATAAGCCGGCTTGAACAAATGTGTTCGTCCCAAGATTTAGCAATGTTCTTAGCTGAACAACCCGTCATTCAGTTAGGCTGTCATGCTGCAAGTATCATAGGCCCAAGCAAAAACTGGCATTTAATCAACGAGGACATGTCGCAATTTTGCATCATATTGCTTACGGTTTATTCCTTTATACACAGGCGTTGATAAACCGGGCTTGAGAGGCATAACACAGTTGCTGGTTGGCCAGATGAAATTATAATCATCCATTTTAATATTAACGGAGCAAAGTGTCAGCAAAATATGTCAAATTGTTCAAATTGCTCGATCGCAATCCATAATTTGGCTAATCATCAATGCTACTTTCAAGGTTGGGTCAGCTATTACGTACTGCCATGCGTCTATTCTAGATTTTGAAGATGTCGTGAACAATTGACATCAGTAACTTTACACTTTATGGACAGTAAGAAGTGTGTTTTCCGACACTTGTTGTTATTCAATGACGGTGCACTATCATGAAATCATCTTCTTGTACTGCGTGGATTTGCAGGTTTACATCAATTGGGCGGCCTGTCTTGGTTCCACAGCCTGGTATCACGCCATTTAATACAGCCCATGAAGAATTTTCGCCTCAGAACAAAGCCGGCTGTCGGTGGCGTCGGACGGCTAGCGAGCTTTTGAATTCACACTCATCTGCCAGGGTTTTAATTGGTGGAACTCCACCTTTCCACTAGTCTTAGCCGTTTTCATTTCTCTATTGCACTCTCCCTCCTCACCAGCCATGCGTTGACCTGATCCATCCACCCATGCTCTTAAGCCTACGAGTCGCATTCGTCACAGTCAACATTCCTTTTAGCGCCGATATGATTTCGACTCGTAAAGCATTGGCAACTCGCTATGCGAAGCTTGCAAGCCTTGTTGGGCGAGGGGCTTCAAACCTCCAAACGTTTGCGACAATGGCCCCTTTGACCTCTGTGGCTCGGAATCACAGGGTCGTTGTCATTGGTGGCGGTAGTGCCGGCTTGGCTATCAGCCATCAACTGCTACGGACAGGCCAATTCTCCCAGGACAGCATCGCTATCGTCGACCCTGCGGCATGGCACCACTACCAGCCTGGATGGACCCTTGTTGGCGGCGGGCTCAAATCGAAACAAGAGTTGCGAAGACCGTTGGATGGCTTGATTGATCCTAAGATCAAGTTTTACCAACAAGCTGTTAGTACCTTCAACCCGGAAGAGAACAGTGTCAAGTTGGAAAGCGGCGACGAGCTCTTTTACGAACAACTTGTCGTCGCCCCGGGCATCAATGTCGACTACGGTAGCATCAAAGGACTACCCGAGGCTTTGGCGAATCCAAACTCTCTTGTTTCTTCCATCTACGGCTATGACACCTGCGACAAAGTTTTTGGTACTTTTCAAAAGCTTCAGACAGGCAACGCCATCTTCACCCAGCCAGCAGGCGCCATCAAGTGCGCTGGCGCACCTCAAAAGGTTATGTGGCTTGCATTGGATTACTGGAAGCGTATGGGTTTGTATAACCCTAGCAACACTACAGTTTCGCCGATCAAGATCAGCTTCGCCACGGGAATCCCAGCTATGTTCGGCGTGCCCAAGTACAGCGCCAAGCTGGAGGAACTGAGGAAGGAGAGAGCCGTCGAGGGACTTTTCCAGCACGATCTTGTCGCTATCGAAGGCAACACTGCGACCTTTGCACGTTCTGAGACGAAGGATACGGTCACCAAGAAGTTCGATCTCATGCACGTTGTTCCCAAAATGGGACCCCACGCATTCGTCAAAAATAGCCCCCTCGCTGACGCAGCTGGTTTTGTTGATGTTGACCAAGCAACAACTCGCCACATCAAGTACCATAATGTCTGGTCATCGGGTGATGCGTCTAGTTTGCCTACCTCGAAAACTGCTGCAGCAATCACTGCGCAGGCGCCAATTTTGGTCAACAACTTGTTACGATCGCTGGACGGAAAGGAACCCGAGGCAAGGTACGATGGCTATACCTCATGCCCACTTACAACCGAGTTCGGAAAGGTCTTGCTTGCCGAGTTCAAGTACGGTGGAGTGCCCAAGGAAACATTTGGAGACCTGATCGGGTTTGACCAGGCAGTTCCCCGCCGTACTTTTTACCACCTGAAGAAGGACTTTTTCCCGTGGGTTTACTACAACTCTATGGTGAAGGGTACTTGGGGCGGCCCTAAGGGCTGGATGAACTAGAGTGACTTCGAACCTGTATATTCTCCAAAAAAACATAGGTGGTCACACTGCCAAAGCCCCTGTTTGTGCCACTATCGGCTGGATTGACCAAATCCCAATTATGCTTGCAAACTCTGCGCATTAGTTCTTACTTCACACATACGATATATATTAAGCCTATCTTCGACGCAAGTTACCTTTTGTCAAATCTAGCTTTCTGTATAGATAGAATCACTGCAAGTCGTCTAATAATCTTTAGAATGTAACGGTGGTGATACTAACTAAGGTGCTGATACAAGACTAGACGGTAACGATAAGTCTCTTGAGGGTGGGGCGTGTATCGAGGGCCCATATCCAAGCCTTTTCCCAATTTCTGGGACGAGCTCACGCCATACTTGACGAGTTGGCTGTAGGCAGGTTACAATGACAGCCACAGAAAGTTCAAAGTACGACCGCATGTGAAGATAAAACACATCATCTTATAACCAAGGTTCCAGCGAAAGTCACTCTGACGTCCTTTCCACAAGGTCCGCTACCTAGACCAGAATAACGTGAATGGGCACTCACAAGTCGGATTTAGGGTCAGACGAAATTGAATAGAGACCCGGAGCCGGACAACGCTTATGTTACCGAAACTATTTGAAGGTGTATTAGTTTAAGTCAACGAGATAACAATGGTTGGAGGGCAAATACTCTATCAACACAGCGAGAGAGCAACACTATATTTGCAGGCAGTTAAAGGTAGGTAGTACTTACAAAACTCCAAGTCCAAACATGAACAAAACCTCAAGCTTTTGTCTTTTCCTCAAATTTAGCCACAAAACCTGGATCATTGGCAAAGCAAGCATCCACAAGTTCATTGCTAAATTCAGAGCTGCGTGCATTATTAGCAAGGGGCGTAGGTTAATGAATCGACCCGAATGTCTACCATCCCACCCGTCCCAAGAGTAACTAAAGGGCTTGCACCGATTAAGCTTGGTCACTGCAAAAGCCACATAAACGATGATGTTCAAGGCCTGAGTGAACCAAAGCGCTGTTGTGAAGGTTTGGTTCACTAATCTGAAAACGCGAAGGTAGAAAAAGAGTGTAGAGGCTTTGAGAGCACTGATACTAATGATGTATGATACTTCAAAGGTAAAAAAGACCTGTAATCATGAGTTCGGAATGTATAGCACTTCACCGCATTATGTATCTGGGAAGGAACATTGGCATCTTACTTATCAAACTCCTCGTGGGATAATGGCCAAATATTTCTGCTGATACCAAAGCGATACAGCCTGAACAACATGAGCAAAGCAACCCGTTGAGCTAAGTGAAAAGGCTCTTTCCAAGATCCTAGGGTCCAGGTGCGAGGGACCACAATCCAGTATGCTGATGGTTTATGGCTCAGAGTCGACAAGGAGATTGACCATAAGCGGAAATTATAACTATTATTGGCGAGACGGAAGGAAGAAAAGGCTAAAGGGGGGGGAGGGGGGGGGGGGGGGAAGGTTGGCAGCAATATACCAGACCCTTAGATATGCCGTTCCATCGCTTCGATCTGGGTGATTCCAAGAAAGTACAACTTGAGACAGGCTTTTGCCTCCACCCCTGGAATGATCACATACCAACTGTTCTCGAGTAGGTAAGGGAGCGAACAGCCAGTTAAAATCAGAAAGCAGCATGATAAAGCAGCATGACAAAGCCACATATAATAACCCAAGGCGTACTTTCATACAGATAATGGCGCATACAGTGACGTCACTATCTGTACGTGCGCGCTCAGTAGTACCTGTAAATACTTTATATCTCTGTTGCCCTTTAAATAAGATGTTAGTAGCTAAAGACTGCTTCCTGCAGGTAAGCACTAAGATCTGCAAAATTTAGACCCCTCGACAAGATGAGTCCAATGAATCACCAAGCAGATTTTGTTATCACTGGTGTCTTGATCTTCGACGGGAAAGCTTGATTGACAAAAGCTACGTCTGACGCGTTAGCGGAAGCATTTTGTAGGCTGGGACAGGCGAGAACAATGGTGACGACACTACTGAATCTATCATATTCCGCCCTGGCGATGCATTGCTGCCCGGCTTGATTGATTCGCATTTCTATTGGCCCAAGGGTAACGTTTACAGTGTGGAGTAATTCCTGTTGTTTAGTTCGCGACTGTGCGATATACATCATTCTCCAACCGACAATGAAAGGAACGCATAGGAAGTTTTACCTAAAAACCAAAGTCTTCGTAAATGAGATGAGAAGTTCACAGAAATTGCCTCTCGTAGCGTGGAACAGTCCTGGAAACAAGCCGCTATACGGAGACTTCAAGCATGCCGGACTAGGTCCCATCTTAGAAGAAGGTCGGACCATTCCGGTGATGCGGAAGGAGTTTGACTACGCTTCCAACGCATATGAATTGCAGAGAAACTCATCGCAGCGTCATTCGAGCTCAAGATGGCGAGCGATTCCGAGCCTTTGTGGAGCAGCAGATCGAGGAAAACGGAGCGTCTGACATCAAGATGTTACATGAACTTGTTGAAAGTATTGGAAAATTTCTCTTTTATCCCTTGATGGACATCCATGGGGCAGTTGTTAAAGTTGCTCATGACTAGGAAATGATTGCAGTGTAACATGCCGTTAGCTACGTAGGCGCTATGGGATTGCTAGACGCAGGGGTCAACAGCCTCACCTCTATCTTTCTTGACGAACCACCCCAATACCATCTCGTAGACACCATGAGGATTCAAGGGGCTCATTACAGTCCAGCGCTGACTTCATGCTCCTCGCGAACTGGAGAAGGTGGCAAGACCCACCGGCGTTTATGTGACCCTTCTACTGAACAGATTCACTTTTCCAAGCCCGCAGGAGGCACTGTAGGGTTTGCCATTTCTCAGGGGCTAGAGTCGAGCGTTAGGAACTCTTACAAGAGCGTCAGAAAGTCTTACACGGCTGGGGTCTCTATTCTGGTTGTTACAGATGCCGTAGGAATCGACATTGACGTGCCTTACGGTCTTATATCAGTTGCCACACCATATCGATAACCCCAACAGATGTGGCCAGTTCAGGTACCTCAATCATCACAGGCCGCTTCGGCTTTAAGGATCAAGGCAGAATCAAAGTTGACTGAAGGGTGTCTGCCGGTAAGACTGTATGGAGAGAGGGCATAGCTGTAGCAGCTTTTGCTCAATGACCAACTGAACCACCTTAATCCTCATTGTTTTCCATATCATACAATTGAGATGAGCACATTACACGTACGTTTTTCTGGAAACCACACACAGACTTGGTTAGGTTAATACAACCCAGTCTCCAATTGTATGACAATTGGCTATAAAGGGTCTATAGGTTTCTCCGGATGACGGAATTGCTGATTAATGTCAAGTCGACCCGACTCACGTATTGATAAGGGGCGAAGGCTCCAGCCCGCAAAACAAGTTCAGCACCTCCTTCGCTGAGTTTCTCTCCTCCAGCAAGCCTGTCTGCATGAGGAGCTAACACGTCGGCCCTAAGACTTAGCTACGCCAACTGTCACCAGCGTCATCGCCGTATGGCTCTCCCAGGACATGTACAAGACCCGCCTTCGTTTCCCAGGCAGGGTCGCGGCCAATGTCAAGGCCATGCTGAAGGAACTAGCGTACCCCAGGTCCTAGGCGGCCTTCCCGTGGGCTGGAACGGCGACGACCCCCGCAAGCGCACGTGCTAAGCGGCGCCCGCGGTCGGCCCATACGCACGCCGCAAGGCCGATGATAAACCCCAAAAGGACGAGCTGGACTGCGGACGACTTTGAAAACCCTGTCAACATCTACAGCGACTAATACCCGGACGTCGACCTCCGCCGAGACACCCACGCCAACCTCAAGCTTTGCGCGCCGTCCCCTGCTAACCCAAACGCCAAAGCCCGCCGCAACACCTACGCCGACCTCAGGTCGCCCGCAACGCCCTTAAAGCCAAACGTCCACGGCTTTCTGAGCAAATGTAAGCCCTGATAGAGTATGAATAACCGTTTCCTCCTTCTCTAAATACTAATACAAGTAGTAAAGCCCATAGCTAGAGCCTAGAGGCCTCTAATACACATAAAGGTTTATTAAGAAGCTTTATAAAATCATCCTAGAGGTATCACAAGCCCTTAACTAGAATAATAGAGATCATGAGGGAGAGTGTTAAGGTACAATTTCATTTAGCCTGCTATCTTCTCAATTAGAAGACATTGATAAATTATATTCATCGATTTCTCTTCTTTTTCGTTTTGCCTAATAGTAGCCTTCAAACGTATCTTCATGATCTTTTACTACCCGTGAAACAGCTTCTTCGATTGTTGGGCTGTCGTCCTTAGGCCCTAGCACATCAAATGCCAGCCCGTACGTCTTCTCGTTCTTAATCGCGGCGTAGATGACCCTGGCAACATCTTTCCTAGAAATCATGCCGATGGTGCCAACCTTTCCTGCACGAGCTTTTCCAGTACTAGGTCCCTCAGTCAGGCCACCAGGTCTCACAATGGTGTAGTTTAGCTGGCGAGCCTCATTCCCCACCCTCAACTCCGTGTCAGCCGCTAGCTTAGCCTGGAGAATAGGACCGATGATACTCCACATGCGGTCGCTGAGCTTCTCATCGGCGTCGGTATACCAGTCCGGAATAGGTTTGCTGGCTCGGTCGCGGACGTCGAGGGCGCTGACGACGATGTAGCGTTTGGCGACCACGTTGGCCTTGGCCAGGGCATCAATGGCGCGAATGGCTCCATCCCGGTCAACGGCCTCGGCAGACTTGGGGTCCTTGCCGCCAGCAGCCCACACTACAACGTCTGGCTTAGTGCCCTCGATAATTTTGATAAAGTCGGCCAGGGAAGCGGTGGCAATGTCCTGGACGACTGGCTTTGCGCCGATGGCTTCCAAATCAGGAACCTGTTCAGGACTACGGATAACGCTGAATATGGTGTGCGGGGTATCGGCGTCCCGAAGGATCATTGTCAGTTGCCGAGCTGTTTTTCCGTTGCCCCCAAATATGAGGGTGGTTGGCATGTGAAGGATTGAAGCGTCGCCCATCTTGAACTGTTGTACTTATACACGTAGCATTGTTTGAGTTGAGATACAAGAGGTGCTTAAGATACTAGGATATACGCTAGACTCTAAACGAAGCTCCAAGAGCGATAAACCGTTAGCACCTAAATTAACTTTTGTGACAGCTTGATCCTGATGCACATCGGAACGGAAGAAGTCTAAGGCCGCAAAATATCTTTTAGGCTGCTGTTACCCTGACCTTATTAATTATTAAAGTATATAGATATAGTAACTAATTATAGCTGTTACCCCTAATTTATTAAGTATATATTAATAGTATATATAATAGATAACTATAGTTAATTTACTATAGTTATAGCCTACTATATTTAATTTACTATAGTTATAGCCTTGAATTTATAGCTATTTAAGTAATATACTTATTATTTAAATTACTATATTTAAATAAAGAAATCTATCTAATTGATAATAGTAGTATTACTACTATACTTTAATCTATATATCTAATTACTATACTTTAATATACTCTCTTATATTAGAGCTATTTATAGATTTAATTTACTAGGTTATATTTAACTAGCTACAATAATAACTTAATTACTACTTAGAAACCTAAACCTTAATTAAATAAACTATATAATATAGTTTAAAAGTACCTAGGTTACTTTGTAACACTAATATATATACTACTATTAGTAATATTAAGAGATAGGTTAATATAGTTAACTATATATATTAGTAGTAATTAATAAATAATAGAGGTAACTATAGTTCTCTATTATATATAAAGAAAAGAAAGATAATTATTATAGGTTAACTAGTTAAATAACTAACTTATTACCTATAAATCCTTAGAGAATCTATAGCTAAATATCTAAGGATTTACTAGTAATAAGTTATTA